TGGGATTGACTGTATAGCCAATACATCCTTAAATTGTTAACTGCTTATCTCAACGATAACAAAATTAATAAATAATTCAAATGCGGAATAGAAATTCGTAAATATCGACGTGCTTCTAAATAAACATTTGTACAATCATTTAAACATTGAATTATCTATTCAGCTTTCAATATTTTGAATCATTTCATACTTTACACTCTTCATTTATTATGCATATTCAGTTTTCTGATAATTGCATAAAATCCGTCAATCTGAAATTTTTTATTCAAATTACCGTTCACTCATGCCCCCGATTAATCAGTTTCACGTGTCATAATCTTCGATTCTGGAATCTGTATTTTAACTATTTCCCTTTCTCTATTTGCGAAACAAATAGGAGAAACGCGTTCGACCTATCTCACCTGTGAAACAAGTTGGTTTGACACAACACGGAATTCGTCTTATCACGAGTTTGCGATCGTTACATTGTTCCTCTTCCTTCGCGACAGCCACTGTTTTTTGATCAAATCCGAGCCTTTTTCTCCAATCATCACAACCGGTGCATTTATGTTCCCGTTCGTAATAGTCGGCATGATAGATGCGTCGACTACCCTTAAACCAGCCACACCGTAGACCCTTAATTCCGGGTCGACGACGGCCATACGATCGGTCGACGGTCCCATTTTCGCGGTACAGCTCATATGATAAATCGTCATGGTATACTGACGAATGGCACAGTTCCAATATTCATCGGTGAACTGAGGTATGTGCTTACAATTAGGCACAGGCTTGCTATGAAACCTGGCGCCAAATCGTTTCATACTGCTGGTTTCACCGAACGCTATCGCTGCTTTCACGCCCTCTCTTAAAACGTCCACATCGTGAGGATCGGTCAAGTAATTGTGATACAACAGCGGATAGTCGAGCGGATTTTTCGACTTTAATTTAATAAAGCCGCGCGAGCGTGGCCTGAGCATCATCGGGAAAACGCCGAATACGTCGTGATTGTTAATCTTCCCGAACACTTCGTTGTAGAACTCGTCGGTAAGCCCGTGGGCGTTCTTTATGTGAGTCCCTCCGTCGGAATTAGTCGACGTCGACGTTAACATAAATTCGATGTCCGGCCAGTCGTCGGACTGGTTTGCATATTTCGTAGAGATGAACCCTACGGCTTCTAACCCTACGCTCGAGGTCAATGGGCCGTCTTCTGTGACGGCGTACCTTAGAGCTGAGTTGACGTTCACCAGTCGGTTCATCACGGTACTGATCGGGTAATCGATCAAGAAAGCAAGGCCACCGACTGCTATGTGATCTTGCAAATTTTGTCCAACTCCCGGCGAATCGTGGATCACCGGAATTCCCAATTCCTCCAAGTGTTCTTTGGGTCCGACCCCGGAAAGCATTAATAACTGTGGGGTATTTATGGCACCTGCAGACAGGATCACTTCCTTCTTGGCGAACACCACGTGCTTGTGACCGTCTCGGATGAACTCGACTCCGTAGGCTCGCTTCGTTCGCGGATCTATCAGCACTTTGGTCACGTGGCTCCATAGGGATAGATGGAAATTCTTTCGCAGTTGAATGGGCCTGATGAACGCCTTCGCACCGCTGCACCGCGTTCCTCTTCTCATTGTAAGTTGATATAAAGCGAAGCCTGTTTGCTGTTCGCCGTTCACGTCTACAATGTCGTAGCCCATTTCCTCGCCTGCTTGCAGGAAGGCTATACCCAGAGGCGTGTTGTACGGGGAATCCTGGATCGTTAAATATCCTCCTAGAAAATGAAATTTTCCAATTATGTAATATTAACCCTTTCACGCTGCAAGTGCTCTCGTACTCATTGAAA